CCCCCCCCCCCCGCATGGATGTCAGTCTGTTGTGTACAGTCCTGGGCTTCAGAGAAAAGTTTAGCTACACAAGTTTACCAACTTTCATCTCCTGGCTTGGGTCAGGAAAAAATTGAGCAATGAGATTTCTTCTAACTCCAGTAGGTTTTCGGGTTTTGAATTCACGAAACATTTCATCAACTAGGATCCCTCTCTCTGGCCCCTAGTTTGACTGCAACACTGGAGTATGTGGAAGAGAAGACCAATGTGGACTCGGTGTTTGTAAGCTTCAAGAACAACCGGAATGACAGAGGTGGGGACTGGCAGTCCTTCTGGGCCTGTGGGGACAGCAACTTTTCCTTTGTAGGAGGACCCTCTTCCCCCATTGTTTTAAAAAGATCACGCTCATATGCATTTCAGGGATTTAACCACCATCACCTCCCACCCCCATTCCAAGGAAATGAGGCACCTAACATTCTGTTAACTCAAATTACACTTGGATTATGAGGAAGGCCTTGAAGGTAGATTTGAGAAGCCAGACTGAAGGAGCGCTAGGGACATTAACACAGAACTACTCAAGGCACATAGCTGATAGGACAGAAAGAACCTCAGGTGTATTAAGCATCTAGAGTGTGAAATGCTTGGGTGTAGGGCCAGGATAGGAATGGATTTATCCAGATGCTTGGAGCACTAGACCTCCTCCCTCATACTCTGTGGGACAGAGGACAAGATGGGCAAGAGCTCAGCACCCCACCATTGTGTTAGGCATTTCATGAACATCCTCTCCTTTAATCAAGTTCTGTGAGGAAGGTCCTGTGATCACCATCTTATAAATGCGGAAACTAAAGCTCAGAAAGGATAACGTGTACAGGGTCACAAAGCTTAGCAAACCTTGGAACCAGGGGTGGAGTCTAGGTCTGTAGTCTAAAGCCTATCACCCTAATGCCACACTACATGGCTTCCCCCCAGGCACTCCCTAGTTAAAGAAACCCAATCCAGTATAGAGCCTCAAAGAATGTTCTAATTTTTTCTTTTCACAGGTGCCCTAATTCGGGCCTTCAGCTACATGGGCTTTCAAGTGGTCAGACCAGATCACCCTGCCCTCCCTCCCTGGGACAATGTCATCTTTATGGTGTATGCCCTTGAAAGGGAACTAGGCCACCTGCCCAGTGAGCCTCCCTGAACATGCCTGTTCCTACTGAGGGCTGGGAGCCTTGATAAATGGGACCCAGGATGTGACTCAGGACACGTTCCATCTTAGGAATAAAGGGTAGTGCAATCTGCAAGCGTTCACTATTTGTGGGGGGTGGGGGTGGGGAAGGGAGTGGGGTTGGCTGTAGTGGACCGTGAGCCTCACAGAGCTGGATTCACTGTAGGATAAACGTTTAATGATGGAAAAGACCAGAGAGGGAAGGGAGCCAAGGACTTTAGGTTCTTTTGCTTTTCCCCCTGCTCCTAAAGCCATTCACTTAGTCTAACCGTTGTTAACTGTGTACTTGCCAAGAGCAAAAACCAGGCACTAGGAAAGTGAGAAAAACTTAAGCCTCGTTGGGAGTTTTTCCTTCATGTACTTCAGTTCAAATTAGAGATCAGCACAAATTCCTTCTCTTTGGATGTGGAGGAAACCCAAGAAGGTACCTGGATCCCACAACTTTGGCTCAAGGAGAGCAGTTCAAAGGACAAAATGAGAAATAAGGGCTAAAAGAGGGCATCCAGACAAGGGCAGGGCAGGGGTGTGCTGGAGCCCATCCAGCTGGGACATGAGTGAGCTGCGGGGCGGGGACGCAACAGCTACACAAAAGGAAGAGCCTCGTGTGCACGGTAAGAAGCCACAGCTGCAACTGAAGCACTGCTCCTTTTCCTGAGCAACAAGCCCTACACATGATTTACATTTGGGCCCCCTTTAAGGGCCAGGGGTCCGAGGAGCCTGGTGACTGACTAGTAGGCCTCATGACCCTGTCGTGGAGCAGTGCCAAGCCCAGGGCCGAGCCTGCTTTGGGGGCGAGTTCACTGTGGCCAAGGTGTGAACCCTGCTCAGATCAATGGCAGCCCTTCCCGGATAAGTCTTCAGAGATCCCACAAACCCATCAGAGATGCTCCTTCACGGGAACCTTTCTCTACCACACGGTACTGAGATTTTTTTGAGAAAATAAATTTTGAAAACCATGGTGATGGGAACCCAGAGTATGGCTAGGTGTCCCTAACCCTAGGTTGGAAGAACAAAACTGTGCATGGGGCATCCTTCTGTGCCAGTTTTAAGTTTTGGAGTTCATCTTACAGATCCTTAAAAAGCCCTCCCATTCATCGGCCACTGTCCCCCCACCCACATATGCACTTAGAGCCCCTGCCGCCCAGTCACTTCCGCAGCGCTCGCTGGCTGCACGGCCCTGGCCGTGAAGCAGGGGTACGTGGAGACAGGGCTCCCAAAAGGCTTCCAGTGAGGGCACAGGAGACCTACCAGAACCCAGGCCTCTTCCAAGCTTCTAGTTTGGGTGGGGTCCTCACTTACAAAGCCCAAACCTAAAATGCTTTGGTTCTCTGTGAATGGTTAATTCTGAAATACCTTTAGGGAAAGGACAGATCTGTGCAAGGGATGGACACTTGGTTCAAAGACGGGCCCTCCACGTAAGGCGTGTAACAAATTCCACCAGGTTTAGGTGCAGGAGATAGCCACAATCCTGCGTCTACCTTGATTCAACCAACATTTAGTTTTAGATCATTTTCTAGAGAACTTTATTCATCAAAGAACCCCACAAATGACTTAAACAGCTACGAAAGTTCTCGTTCACTTTATGGAGGTGTGTGTCTACAGACACTACACTAGCACTTTAGAGTATTTCTTGAGCCGCTCTCTCCTGGTCTAACTTGTATTTTAACCAAAGTTAACAGGGAAATGGCTGGAGCACTGTTTCAGAAAACCGATCTCCAATAACCTATCAGCAGTTGAGGCTGGGAGGCAGTGTTCTCCCATTTCCTGAGACTGTTAAATACAATCCTACTGACTTTTGCCTGCGCCTCCCAAGTCAACTGTGGTCTTTGAGCTAACCACTCAAAAAACCTCCTGTAACTAACAGTCACCTGAGGAGGTGAGTCAGAAGTCTGCAGAATCATCACCTCCGGTGACCAACTCCTGGCTGCTTTCCAGCCTCAAAAAGGACACAGCCTTGCAAAAGCACACAGTAATCGCCAGCAGATAGCGGACCAGACGCTGAGCAGCCTGGAAGCAAACTCTGAAGAAGACAGTGTTGGGCATATGGAGAAGGGACATGTAGTTGTCCCCTGCTCTACCCCACACTCTTTCTGGTAGTCCAACAGAAGGGGAGCATGCATTTGGTCCACAGCAAGCCAGATCATGTCGGTCATGGAGAAAGGACTGCATAGATCCATTTATCATAGGCGCCTCTCTCCAGGCCCCAAATCCTGCCAAGACAAACACACCGACACAAAAGCTTGAAAGGGCTCAACCTGAGAATGAGTGAAACTGCAGCAGAGTCATGTGAAGACAGGGAGGGGAAGGGAGAGTAGTGTGAAGAAGGGAAGGGGGCAGGACAAAGCTGTCCCCCTAGTTACTTCCCTGGGGCTAGAGAGAGAGGGCAGTTGCACTCACGCGGCAGAGCCAGGCTTCAGAGTAAGTAGTCCTCTTCAAGATTATCATCCCCAGACATGGAGGCAGCTTCTGCTCAGCAGGAACGAAGAGGAGGTTAGGCACAGCCATGGAGACTCGGGGAAAACGGGCTACTTGGTGCTCAGGGGCCCCTTTTAAGAGCTAAGTCTTAACCCCGTCCCTTGGTTTGGAGAGACCACCAGAAACCAGAACTCCCAAAGACGCTCCGGGGAGGAAATGTGGTTTGTACCTGACAAGCTGAGGCAGGACAGGGTGTTTGCCATTTCTCCAGGGCTCTTCTTGGGCTCAGGGAACATACTGCCGAGAGAGACGTCCGTTTCTGTGGTCTGAGGGATGAAGATGAGACAGAGACCGAACTGGCTGGTGTGAAGGGTAGAGGCCACCCTATCGTTTTGCCCACAGCCTGGTTAAGGGAGTGGAGGTAGACTGCTGAGAGGAACAAGGATGCCTCCTTAGGAAAGCCCTCCACCAAACATCCCGTGTGACCAGAAGCCGCCCTGTCTCTCAAAGCAGCCCCGCCCTGGAGCAGCACCTGACCTGTACTCACCACATTGTGCAGCATGTCTGGGATGGCTCTGTTTTCTTCCATGTCTTCGGGAAGCTCAACCGCATATCCTTTACGAACTAATTCTAACCCAATATCAAGTTTCTGAAAAGAAAAATGAAAAGGAATGATGTTCCCTGTAGAGGGGGGTATGTCTGAGGAACCAGGGCAGAAGGGTGAGGATTGAGACTTTAAAGAAAGACAGTCCTTTAGTAAGCAAGATCTTAGGAGGCAGGAGTACTATCAGAGAAGGGTTTCTGGGAAAGAAAAAGTGACCGATGATACAATACACTGAAGAGACAGTGATGAGTGGACCCTGTCATACCTTCCCATTGCTAGTATCATATAAGTAAATCTTGGGCCACGTGGAGATCCCAGTCTGGACATAGCTGGAGATCTTAGCCACCAGGGGCTTCCAGTCAGCACAGTAAGTGAGTCTGTCAAACTCATCCAAAGCTTCCTCTTCCCACTGTTCACCTGGCAAAAGATTGCAGGGAGAGCCTGAGAAGGGGAGAGATTATGCCCTGGAAGGGAACCGGGGCTACCTCTTTACTCCTGAAGGCACCACGTCTGCCTGCCAGGCATGTTCCCAGTGACTGCTTTCTACTGCTGGGAAGGAAAACACACCTGAGCCCCTAGAGCTCAAAAAGCCTGGAATGTGAGAAATCCTTCCAAGTGCTATACAAAAGTTATTTTATTGGAGGCAAGGTCAATAGGCATTGTGACCAATTTACCTGAGGGGGCGATCCGTGCCAGACTACATTCTATTGCTTGAAATGGAAGGCTAAGGAAGTCACTCCTAAAGTGAAAGAAACTGAAATTAGAATCCCAGTGCCAGAAGGGTCTCTTACAGTCTTTGTTTCTAGACATCACCAGGAACCCAGTTCAGAAGATCATCTATTCTCTGTCAATAGGCTCTCTTCCCCCGCCCCACCCCCCACCCAGTGAGGAGTGCCAGGAGCACACCATCCACCATGGCCTGGGCTGAGTTAGTAGTGGGGACTCCACCCTGGCCTCCACACTGACCTGAGGGCCCGGAGGTCCTTCAGTGGGCAATCTCCATTATCTCCAAAGTCAACGAAGTACAGGTCCAGGTTCCCATTCTCCAAAGTGCCAAGGACCCGAGCTCGGTACCAGGAACCATTTGCAGGCAAAGGAGCTGCTACAATGTCTCCAACGTGCACAGTCAAGTCTTCAGGCTGCACGAGGGGATCAGGATTGGGAGGGTTAGGATGAGCCGGCTAAAAACAGATAAGCAGTAAATACCAGAAGGAGAAAGAACAAGTAGATGCTCCCCAGGGAAAAAAGAGAACATCTCACAATAAAAAAGACAGGACCCTTTTTTGTCAAACCTGACCCTGTCCCTCCGGCAACTCACTAGACTGCGCTCATAGTGCTGGGTCATCTCGCTGACGAGCTTATCCAGCTGCAGACTGCGGGAGCCAACGATCTGGATCCAGAAGTGGTTGGGGTGCTCGGAGGCAGAGACGTAGACTTCCAGAAACTCGTCGGCATGGAAACTAAAGTCAGGACTAGGGACTAAACACAGGGATAAGCAACGCAAGCTGCAGGATCCTCACCATATAACCTGGTGACCACATTAAAACTATATGGATTAAATGGGGAGACTGGGGGCGTCTGGGTGGCTCAGTGGGTGGAGCATCCCATTCTTGATTTCAGTTCAGGTCATGATCCCAGGGTTGTGGGATAGAGCCCCACATCAGGCTCCACACTCAGCATGAGGCCTACTTAGGATTCTTTCCCCCCCGCCAGCCCCCTGGCTCCTCTCCTCTGCTGGTGCTCTTAAAAAAAAAAGGGGGGGTGGGGAGACTCCATCAGAAGAGCTACAAAAATAGCTCAGTGGCTAGTACCATTTAAAAACTGGCTGCAGGGACAACTGGATGATTCATAGAACATCCTGAAAAAGGTGCTGAGCTGAGCACCTTTCTATGTAACTGAGCAATCAGGGTTTACACCCCATCATCTGCCACGTATTGAAATCAGACGTCAGTCATAACTGCAGCACAGACTGATGGAAAGGTGTGGCCAGCTCCAGATCCTATTCTATCACTGACTTGTCGTGTGACCCCAAACAAGCCTACGAACCTCTTAGGGGC